ATGAATGAGAGAAAAGCCACGTATGAAATGATAAGCAAGAGGTCGGCATGATAAGACCAGTAACTGAGAGAGATCTCTCTGGGGGTAAGGACTGGAGGGGCAGTGGCAGGTGAGGAGATTGTCTGGAGGCCGCTGGAGGAACCCGCCGCCTGACGCTGAGCCTGAAATAAGCAGGGACAACAGGATGGCAGAAGAGATGGGTGACCAGCTAGTCAGTGGTGGAAAGACCTCTGCAGGCTAGCTAAGCAGACAGGAGGGAGGGAGAGGTCACCCACCAGACCCGACGATTGGGTGGATGTCAGTCCAAGTCCATCGAATCTACAACATGAACCTAACCCCCACCCCCTCCTTTGGCTGGGTGTAGACTGCACACCAAGCATGATCCTGGACTGCCTTCTTTCTACCCCTATAACTAACTCCAGTCTTGGAAAAATAAAACTATTGTTTTGGTACTTTGCTGTTTGGAGAAAACATTATAGGTCAATAAATCTACTTCTAAAATAGCAAAACAGCTTATGAAAAAAAAGAAAAAAAAAACCAACCACCGTAGGATGTTTTGAGCATCACATTTTTTAATATACTTTAGTTCATTCATAATAAAACCTAGTTTTTTAAAAACCAACTGGTAAAAACAACCCACCAAGCAAACCACATTAATCACATGAAAGGTATCGTTAATATTACAGGAAGTCACAGTGGTTCAGTACCAGAACCTCTTTTCCAAAGTCCTTTGCTAATGACTTCTTTGCTTAAAATTCTGTGTCTTAATTCAAAGCAAACGAGATGATATAAAAGAAATACAACACAAACAGAAATGGAGAATGAGGGAACATTATAACCCTTGATTACAGGACATGTAGCACAGCTAAAGCATTTGAAATTTATAGGTGGTAAAAAAAATTAGAAAAACCCCAAAATAGACAAATTAAGAAAAAAAAACTAAAAATTTAAAATAAAAAAATAAGTTTTTCATATCTTCAGGCTTCCATTTCTCTTAGATTTTCACATATATGGAAAATGCTGAAAAGGAACATGCAAATAAATAGCTAGTGTTTATTCTGCCTCCCAACCAGCCAAATCCAGAAAATGTGCTAGAGTTTCAGGTATACTTGGGTTTCACTTCCCCAGTATCCACAGAGGAAATTCAATGCCACTCTTAGGGAGCACTTTTGGGCTTGACTCTGATTTTCAAGGTTTGACTTTGAATGTCATTCACCACTGCCCACCTTTTGGATCGGCAGAGTGAGTTCAACCAGACCAACCAATGAGACAAGAGAAGAGAGCACTGCAGAAGCCGTCACTCAATCTGGAGTTGACACCATGGTCCAAGTTTAACGGGTAGAGAATGATGCCACAGAAACCAGAAATCAGACAATGTGTAACAGTAAAACACCCAAGAGACCTGTCAGCAGGTGTAGCGGGGAAATGTCCTAGGATTCTTCATGAGGATGATGTCTGGTGCTCTTCTGCCAGGAAATCCATCTTACATAGTACGCAAAGCAATAAGCAACTTACCAAGGGTCACCAAGCTATGAAGTGTAATTCACAGGATTTGAACCCAGGGCTTTCAGCTTGATCGTTTGTGATCTTAGCCCATGTACTATGGTCCCTTCTTTCTGTGAGTGGGGTTCTGAGACTACTCTAACTCCTAATGCCTTTCTGCCTCACCAGAGTCCTCCTGAAAACTGACTATGCTTGTCTTGAACTCATTAGAGGAAATAAAATGTCTTGCTTTCCCTCTTTCTAATGAAAGGGAAAAAAGACCGTTGGTGGGGGAAATGGGAAATAAAATGGTTTAGCTGAAGAGGTGACTTCACTTTGTCATTACCGAGATTTTGACAAGACCATTATGGTTTCAATGTTGCTTCCATACACATTCATTTCAAAGTGTTGGCCAGCAGCCGTCCCCCTTTTGCGTTCTGAAAGGGTATGGAAAACACAAAAGCAAATTTAATTCAGAAGAGCCTATTACTTTGTAATTCTGTGGAATTATCCAAACTTGCCTGCAACTATATCAAGAGCAAGACAAAGAAAATGTATGAGTGGACAAGTCTGTATATGAACCTATCATGCGACACATCACATTTGGGTAAAGATTATTAAACTACATACAGGTAATTCCAACTGGGTTACAGTCCAAAAGTGAGTTTACAGGTTGGATTTGATGGATTGCAGGACCCGCCTTTCACTGTAACGAGAGGGACATGGAATCTAGAATCTCAGCCTAGCCCTTCATGTGTTTTGTCTTGCTGTGCCTGCAGAATGGTGGGTGGCCTCTCCCTCCCTCCTGTCTGCTTAACTTGCCTGCAGAGGTCTTTTCACCACTGGCTAGCTGGTCACCCATCTCTTCTGCCATCCTGCTGTCCACAGAGATATCATGTAAGCTGATAAGCACCTATGATAGAGCCCATGTGTCCTTGATATGGTATGACAGACCACCCATTCTGTAGGCACAGCAAGACAAAACACATAAAGGGCCAGGCTGAGATTCTAAGATTCCATGTCACTCTCATTGCAGTGAAAGGCAGGTTCCACCCTCTAACACGCCACATGGAATATGGAGGTCAATGCCTTTCTCCTGTGCTCAGAGCAGGATACCCTGAGGAGGCGTGACAGGCCACTGAAGAGGCAACACAGGGCCTGGGAGAGACGAGGTTAGAGCCCTGGGGCCTCCCACTCTAGAGATCTTGGGGTCACTGAGAGATGTCCCACCTACTCTGCCCAGAATGTCTCTTTTCCTGGCACCCAACAGTCTAACTATTCCAAGAGCTGTTCTCTTCCTAGAGGCTTCTTAAATGGTCTCAAGCTAACAATAATGCCTCTTAAAGGGAGAATCCAAACACTTCCCCAGAGGCCATCATGCAGGCTGTGGAAAAGCCTTATGCTTTAAATGTAGTATTTTCTAGGGCACTTGTACCCTAAAAAGCTCTAATGTTTCTGAGGTAAGTAATGCTAACAGAGTTATCTCCACATTTCCTAAGGTCTACAGGTCTGATGAGGCTGAATAACTAACAGAAGGTGTTTTCTCTTCTTTATTTTTCCTAATAGGATAACTTTTCCCCATACAGTCTATATATGCTCTCACTCAAGGGCAACTGATTTAATGGATTATAATGATGGATAACGAGGTCTCTTAATTGTTTTCTGAGGATTATTGTAGCTGTGAAAATCAAGCCATATACACATACACTCAAACAGCTGTTATAAAACATTTAGTTGCTCTTTAATTTAGAAATGATTTCTGGTTTTGAGAACTATCTTTGCTCATCATTTTCTTCGCATATTCAAAGACCTTATCAGTCTATTTATAACTATTTTGATTGGTTTGCTTTCCATGGTACTTTGACAAATGTCATTCATAACTGGTTAGATTTGTGTTCATACTGAAACACCATCCAGGTGATTTCGACTAATGTAATGTTTAATTACCCAATTTTAATTCAATCTAATTTAAAAAATGGATGAAACAAGTCTAAATGTGGCATTTAAGATCTCAGAATATCACCTTTCCCAGGCACTCAACTCTGGGCATTTCTAGAAGAATTCATCCCTAGGCCATCTCTGTCAGTCTTTGCTTTTTATTTTAAATAATGATTAGTCTCAGAAGAAAGAAACTCTGAGTATTAGGATACAGCTTCTACATTCCCTTTACATCAGTGATAAAATTATTATTGCTTTAATAGTCCTAAGATGACAAGGTAAAGTTTCTTCCCTGATGTTTAACAATCCCAAGGGTAGTCATTGAGCCTTGTCTGTGTTTAGTTTCAATAAACTAACAATATATAATATATGGACAGAAAACCCTATATTACCCTTACTTCAATTGGTTCTGTTATAAGGAAACACCCCAAGACAGGTGATATTAACTATGCAGCCATATTTCTATGTAATCCCATTTAACTTGTAAGCTTATTCAACTATTATTTACTCAGCATCTACCATGTTACAGAATTGGGGATACAACATAATCCTTTCCACAGCCTCCTGCATTTTAGGAATTCCCAGAAAAGGTAAAAGAAAAGCAAGAAATTATAATACAACTTGGGAAACAACAGTATATACAACAAGAGCATCAGTAAAGGGAAACGTTGGGTATGTATGGAGAGTCACACAAAGGAACAGCCGAGTGGCCAACAGAGCAGGGAAGGCGGAAACAGTGAGGTTCTCCTGGAAAATGCTCCCTGCAAACAGGAAACAGCATGTGTCAGGTCAGTGAGAAGCAACAAGGTATCTCAAGTTCAGGAACTGCAAGAGATTCATATTCTAAAGCCTATGAGGATCAGCAGGCTTTGAAGCTGGAATGACTCCTGGGCAAGGTGAAAAACACAGAGAAAACTATCACTATCTCTAGTGCCTTCTGGCATCAATCTATATTGCAGACATTCAGATTGCCCCTTGGATGAAGCTCAACTCACTTTTTTTGCCTTCACTAGGATACGTGGCACATGTGCTATTATATTGGAGAAACAGCCACAAAACTATTCAAAGGGGAAAAGTAAAGCTCAGCACATCTGGCAAACAAACTATGTATATATTGATTATATATAAAAGATATTTTTCAAACCAAATTGAATTTCATTGATATCAAATCCAATGAGCTAAAAGCTTCTGTGGCATACATAAAAATGTCCATCAAATCAGCTCCAAAACAAAATGTGTGGTTCGTAATAGGGACTGGGACTCTGTATGGTTCTAAACCATTGACTGTAGGTGCTCCTTGCAACAGGTGAGGTTAGTGAGTGATGATTAGAACACATGAGCCCCCAAGCCTGCTGCTTCCAGCACTTTAGTCACGAGGCATCCCCACTGAGTGGGGACCCTGGCACCAGAACCATCAACAATGCATCCTAGCGCTGGCCACGGCCTCCAGATGCTTCTGGATGGTGGTGCCGAGGGCATCGATGGAACGTTCCGGAGAGATTCAGGAGGAGGTCACACAACAGTAAGCAGAGTGAGACAGTTGCTAGAAGCATCTACACAGAGCAACAGAGGCCCCAGGAGGCAGAGAGGAGCCCAGCACAAGGCCGGGGTGCATCTGGAGCTATCTCTGCACCTCTGACCAGCTGCCGGCACCCCCGGGATCTGAACCTCCTGAGCACTCCTGAGACGGAATGCTGAAAGGGGGCTAAGAAGGAAACTGGGGAGAGGAGTTATTCAATGTCATGTTGATGAGTAACACAGAAATAACCATGCTGAAAGGAAAGAATCTCTAGAGAAGCTGCCAGGCTTACCCTCTTTCCTTCAGGTAGGTTCTCAAATTGCAGGCTGGAGGCTTAACTCCGGGTTCTCATATCGGTTCCTTAATTAGAAGGCTCTGTAAACCAAAATCTTATTATGCAATAAAAACCTTGACTACTGGGTTAAAGTGCCTTGATGAAACTTCCAAAGTTTCAGAATGGTGTTATGCTACCTCATGAAGACCGACAGCCAAAGAGGAAGGGAGAGACAGTGGTCTGTCTGCCTTTCACCTGTGCAGATTCAAAGACCAAGTCACTGGGTTCCTGTCTCCTCAGTTGTTTAAAAGACGAAGAAAGAAAACCCTGCTCAGCCACCCTGGGGTCTATCTGAGGGCATGGAGACCTAGGCTGAGTCCTGGCTGTGTGATTTAACCTTTGCCTTCTTTCTACCCTACTATTCTTCATTGGTTAATGGATCTAATAAATAGCAACGACTTCAAAGGGTCATGGTGAATACTAAGTAGAATTTATAACTGGTACATAATACGAAGTCTGCACATAGTAAGCCTGCAAAATTAACTATTTAATGATTTTAATGATTTAAAGGAAAACCTTTCTTAATCTCATCTAACTCCTTCAGGTATCTGTTTTTAACTTGGAAATACAGCTGCAGTGGAGAGCAGAAATGCAACCAGCTGCTGGATAAAAGTTGGCTTTTAATATTCTTAAAAGGTTCATAGTAACAAATATTTCCACACATGCTGATGAGAAATTGTTCTTTGCTCTGGAGGAGATTTGAAAATAAAATTTCTTATACATGCCTAAGGAATTCCAAATGATTTAAAAAGCTAAATCCATTCAGTCAGTAGGGAAAAAAAAAGATACAGATGTCTGCCAAAGGAAAAACTGTTCAGAATGTTAAGTTGCTCAGTGCAATGTTTGGAGACAGCTGGGACAAACAGTGCTGTTTATTGAGGAATTATAGAAACTTTGTTACCAATGTATGATACAGTGAGAAATACACACTCGGTCTTCTTCCCTTTCCCCACCCCTCTGGGCTTCCCAGTTCCTGGCACGGCCCAGAGCTTCTAAAACCCTTGGGATGTCCTGATAAGAACATCTTTTTCTTAATGGCAGCACGCTCTTGCCAACCAGACCTGAGCTTATGCTAATAAGGTGACTCTTAATGGCCCAAAGTCGGCTTCAGGAATGGGGTGGCTGTCAGGCATGGTTTCCACAGGAGTAAAGGGCTACAACTTACAGCCTCATCCGAGCTTCCAGGGAGGGAAGAGGGGCTGGAAATTGAGTTCAGTCACCAATAGGCAATGATATGATCATCATGCTGGTGTAATGAGACCTCCACAAAGATACCTCAGTGACTGGGCAGACAGCTTCTGGGTTGTGAACACCTAGAGGTGCTGGGGTTACCTTGTCTGTGCATCGCTTACCTTGTCTGTGCATCTGTTCTATTTGTGTTCCTGAGTTGCATCCGTTACAGTAAACTGGTAAATGTAAATAAAGTGTTTCCTTGAGTTTGGTGAGCTGTTCTAGCCAATTACTGAACCTGAGGAGGGAATGGTGGGAAGCCAAGATTTCTGGCTGATCAGCCCAAGGTACAGGTGACGATCTGGACTTGTGACTGGCATTGGAGGTGGTGATCAGTCTTGTCAGACTATGTCCTTAACCTGTGGGGTCTGAGGAACTCCAGGAAGTTAGCATCAGAACTGAACTGCACGGCAGGACACCCCATCAGTGTCCGGAGGGCTGGAGAACTGGCTGGCAAGGGAAAAGCACTCTCATTCCGATATTATGTTATGAATATAAAATTATCAGACAACGAAAGGAATAACTGTCCCCTGCTTTCTTCCTCTGTCCCTCAGGCTCAATGAAGTCATCAGAACATGCATTTCCTGCCATTTAACTTTCACTTATGACTTGACTTTACATTCTTGGAAAACAATAGAGAACCTGGGCTAATGCCTAAGGCCCATACCAATTCCTCATCATGAGATTACATGGTAAAAATCACGTTAGGCTCACTGATTATACTTGCATTTTAAGCTCGTCAGCTGCTCTAGAAGACTCTTAATCTGGGGTTTTCCTATTTCACTTGGGTGTTTCTCAGTATAGAAACAAACCTTAAGAACTATGTTGATTTATCTTTTCTCCAACACATATACACCTCCTGTCTCCCTATCTCCCCTGCAGAGACTGATAAAAAATGATTTTAGCTTGTAAATCTATTTCTGTTGCTGTCTTGAAACTAATTATAGGATTGGAAGCTCTCAAATGGTGGCCATGTGCGTAGTTTCTTTTTAGGGAATATGGGCCCACAACAAAGGATGTAAACAAACTCAAACTCAAGTTTATTTTGGAGAATTATGCTGTAATAGTGGAAGAGAATAAAACACACCATTAAAATAGAACACTTTAATTTTGGTTTAGGTCTATTATTTCCTATTTAAGAATACTGCACATTTGCCAAACACATTGCTATAAGCCAAGAGGAACGGAACTGGGGGAGGGGAGCAAAGATGATAGAAACAGGAGCAGTGCAGGAGGGAAGGGAGAAGGGAAAGGAGAAAGAAAGAAAGGAGAAGTGGGTGCATCACAAGGAAAGAGGGTGGCAGTAACGGAAGGAAGCCAGAAAACATTAAGCCTCCTGACCTCCAAGGAAAGAACACATTTCATTTCAGCAATGTTCAAAGCAAATTCAGAATAACATACCAAGCACTTGACATTAAAATACAACCACACATTCAGGGAAGCATTTTATAAGGAAACAAATTCAAAACTGATGTCAAATGAATAGCTTGAGTAGAAAACACCCTATGGCTCTCGCTTTGAGACTCTAGGTTGGTCAGGAGTATGACAGCCTCGTATTTACACGCTCCCCCAAAGCCCACCTGTGCATAATGTTCAGGGTTTCCTCAGTGGACCCTGGAGACCAAGAAGAGAAACACAAAAAAGGAAGCATATCTCTGTTTTTATAATTTTGCAATCATATTTGAGGACAGAGTCATCTTTGTCTTAGTAATGACAATAGCTCTTGAATCACAGTGACAGCAAAGGACATTCAAAGATCTAATGTGTGCCCTGTTTCAGAGACTTGCTGCCTTGAGGGTCGGGGGAGGAGGCATGAGGGATTGCGGCGTGTGGCCAAGAATCAAGTGTCTTTACCTACTAAGTAATTTATCCCTTATTTTGAGCCCCAAGAAGGTGAAGAGAGATTGTCTTTGATCTGAAATTCCTTCTAATATCACTCGTGGGATTCTTCACTCTAATGTGTGTGCACTTTAATATTTAGGAATAGAAAGGTGGGGAAGTAGTAATATGTGAGCTGAGTGACTGAAACAGTGAGCAAGTGGTCCACTGGGAGTGCAAATAAGTACATGGTATAAGGTCTAGAATTAAGGCATACTGTTAGATACGTCCTCGACATCTGGGGGAAACTGAGAGAGTCTCATATGGCTTGACTGAATGGTACCCCCTGGCTCAGCAGCCATGGATAAAGACCTTCAGCCACAGGACCCTCCTTTATCACAGCATCAGGCACTTCGTCGTGGGTCCAGGTCCTGGCCAGCTCCTGCAGTTAACTCAAGCAAGCCCATCCCATTGTCCTGTAGGAACAGGGTGCACCTCATCATTTTGATACCACACAACCTGCCTCCCCCAGCCCAGGTTCTTCACTCCCCCCCCCCCCCCACAAGGCTCTGCATGGCGAGTTGTCCCCCTACTCTGGCTCTGAGTATATGTGACTAATAAACTGTTATCATCTCATCTGTCCTGTGTTTAGGTGTCCTGTGTTCAGCTACCCCCATAACCCTGAGGCAGAGCACCGCCATCCTTTCTTTGGGGTGAATACAAGGCAATTAAAACAGGTACCGCCTCTGGGTCATGCTGAGCCAAGTACCAGTGGGCTGCCTCTCAGCACCCCCAGGACTGGGTTCCAGCCACCCTGAATGCCTGGGCTCCAGGCACGGGAGCAGCGAGCTCTGTCCGACTGCCCGCTGCAGCTCCTTGGGAATGGCAGGAGGCACTGGGTGCTTTGTTTGCATGTTGAGAGCCTGGCATCTGAAAAATGCTGAAGGAGAAGGGGAGTGTTTTGCGGAGGAGACCAAAGAGGAATTGCCAACTTTTAACATTCCTGGCCTCAGAGCAACCCCTCCTTACAAGCCTCTCCCACATTTTCTCCCACCAGCACAAAATAATTCCATTTATCTCACATTTCCCAACCTGTTCATGAACAAAGGGCATCAGTGCTGAACTCCGCACTGTAAGTGCTCCAAATACTGCTGGCTCCGCATCTGCCCTGAGGGCATCTTAGGATAACAGGAGGCTGCATGTCTCTGAACACAGGTTGATGTTTCCAAGGAGAGAACAGTCTTGTCCACAGTTTTGTGTTTTGTTTTGATGCTTCATCTAATACATTTTAAAGCACCAGAGGTTCTCTGCCCTTCCTACATATCTTCTAAATGGGACCTACTGGCAAACCTCTACTTGGAAATACTATTAATGAAGAGGATGAATAGAAACACATGATTTGAGGGCTATCCTGTTGTCTGTGACAACGTCTAGAGGGCTGTGGTTCCACAAATGATGATCACACATTTACAAAGTCTCTATCAATATAAGGATGAAACACTTGGTTGAATAAGCCATTATTGCTTAGTGTAATTTTGGGCTACAGTGGAAACTTTTATCAGGTCCCTTAAGACAGTACTAGAAAACATTTTTAAAACAACTTCTTTCCACCCCTATGGAAAGAATGTGGGCAGATCAGAGCAACAGAAGGATTGCCACTGTTCTTTTTTGATAGGCGGAAGCAAGCATGGTTAAATTAAGAATATCCTTACTTCTGCTAGAGTGATGGAGAGAAGTTGATCCAGCCCAGAATGCCTACCAAACTCCAGCCACCTCTGGAAAGACCATGTGTAACTCACTGTACTCCCAGGTCAGGCTGGTGAACACACTGTTACAAATTCAACTATATCAAAGCAATATTATCACGGAAGGTATGGGAAGTTCTGGATATTTGAACAATAAGTTCAAACACCAAATACCAAACACTGAACTAAGTACAGAATAAAGGACAGACACTTTAATTATGGCTGCTTATTTAATTCTCAGAAAACTCCTTAAAAATCCCATTTTAAAGATTCTGAGCCTGAGATTCAGGCTGAGAGTGAACACTTGACTGTGCTCCGCCAGCTCTAAGGTGGCACCGCCAAGATGGACCACTAGGTTCCTGCCTTAAAACACTAGGATCTTTCCTTGGCCCTATGTGTCCACACTGCAAAGAGGAGGATGAAGCTCTTACCTGCCTTTCATACTCAGAAAAGATCAGATTCTTACTTAATATAAACTAAGAAGAGGGTGAGCTGAGTCTCCGACCACATCTCATCGTCTTTTTGGATTGGTGGGAGCCCCATGACAGCATGCCTTGCCTAAACCCCCTGTATCGGCCATGCTGTGTCACACGGCCAAGCTGCTGTTCTGTCTGCTTAATCAGCTGGCTTGGCTGAAAGCCTCATATTCTTGAGACAGTCCATTGCATCTCTGGCCCACTTGATTTAAGGAAGTTCTTTCTTAAACTGAGCCAACATCTATCACCCCATAGCTTTTCCCCATTTGTTCTGGTCCCATGCCTTAAAGACAAGGAGATAAATACTTAACTTTCTTCCACATCATTGTTCTTTCCTTTTTGATAGGCCCCTGAAATCATCCTCTGAGGGCTTTTGCTCTTTAGACCAGTGTGACCAAGTTCCTCTTGTCACTTCTCGGATAACATGGTATCTGATTCCCTTTCCTCCCTGCTTTCTGATTGCCAAATAACTCAAAAGTGTAGAATCCAACTAAAATGTTGAAAGATGGTATGACATGCTGTTTGGGATTTGATTCACAATAATGTGGGGCTGAGGTAGGCATAGGGGAAATGAGTAAGAGAATAGGCAGAACAAGATTTGCAAATATGTGATAAATTTTTTAACTGCGGCATACATGAAATTTCACAAAATGCTATTCTCCTTACTTTTGTCTATGTTTGAAAATTTCCATAATAAAAAATTTCTTTTTAAGTGTAAGTAGCATCCAAAAATATGTACAATACTTCAGACATGATAGGATTCATCAGAAAAAGCTAAGGCATCATATTCTGTATCATAACATTGTACACTGATGAATGAAAATTTGATCTCTTTTTTAAAGCCACCTAAATCCGTGGATTTGTGTTTTCTGAAATACCTGTGCTATTTCCCATTCTTGAGTCACTTGGTCGGCTCTTGATGTTTTTTTTATCCCATTGGTGTGGGCTTGGCTCCAATTCTAGGGCTTATTATTTCCTCTTGAAAATATTATAGTGGTAGATTTTGCCTGTTAAGAACCAAGGGACCCTAAAACTGTCAGTCAACTGACTCACTTGGGATTATCCACAAATATTTTTAGCACAGCTTTTAAATCCTAATTGATTGGATCAGGAGGGATAAAAATTTGATAGCAATACTGAAGCAGGCTGGAGGTTAGAAACCTAAAGAATGAACTCACGAGGCGTTTTGTGTGTGTGGAGGATGTACACAGTTTGCAATTCAGTCTGAAAGAACGAACAGTGGTCAGGCTGCCCACTCGTTGAGGAAAACAGCAAATGGAGCCATGGGGCTCTCAGGAAAGGAAACGTGACGCTTATTGCTGCATCGTCTTCCGCAATAAGGTTCGGAATTTATCAGTAATGTGATGACACTGATCTGGAATTTGAAAAAACCTTCATCATGATGCAATTCAAAAGGCCACCTCAGTAAGTACTGTTGTCCCTGCACAGTGAGACTCGACAGGGCATACTGAATCCAGAAATGAGAGAAAGATAATTGGATGTTAATAAAGAATTTATTTTCCTTCCACTGTGGCAAATTCCATTTACATCACCCTTTATAAATAATCACCTTCAACACTTCAACAGATGGCTGCAATGTATCATGGATTTTTAAAATGCTACCTTGTGTACAGATAATTGATCAGCACCAACTGTTTGATTTGTAATTGCTTAATAATTTGGGGGATAAATTATATTTATCTCTGTTCTACACATACTAATTTATTTTTGAGGTAGATATATTTCAATTTGTATTCGAGATGATAATTATTTCATGATAAGTAAGCTATTAAAGACATACATTTGTGTCATCCAATTAACTTCTGCAGTGGTAAGCAGAAATACATTTTTTCCTCCAGGTTGTAAGGTCAGATCTGTGGACTGAAGGAACTACCAAAAATACATCTTTTGGAAACATCACAAAAGGCCATATGGGGAGCAGACTGTCCTAAGAGAAAAATTATTGGATGGAGAGCAGAGAACACCTCACGTCTCTATCTTGTTTTCTCACTGAATCACCCAAAGTCCTCGCCAGCAAGTACCTAGAACAGAATCCCCAACCCCAACCAAAGACACCTTGGAAGCAGATGCAGGAGAGGAAATAGCCAGGTAGAAAACCTATAAGGGAAAATGTAATACTATTTCCTGTAGGCATGGAAGCAATAAGAAAAGATTAATGCTAATAACAATCTATTGTGTTGGAAGTGTGACACTTATCCAATGCCATAACAAGACACTAGAGATGGCTGTGGAATTCAGAAGGAATACAAGAATGTTATTTGTTTCCTGGCTATATTAGCTATGCACCCTTGAGCAAATTGCCTAAGCTGTCTAAGTTAGTTTGCTCACCTGGAAATATGGAAAAGTAAATAAATGTCCTAATTACCAAAAAATGGTCAGAGAGTTCAAAGGAGATAATGTCCATGAAAATACTCTTGCTAACACTACAACAGAACAGAAGCACTTCCATCACAATTACTCATGTAACAGTATTTCAAAAAGGCAAAATTTCTAAGATTTTCTATGATAAAGGGTGATTTAAGGTTTCTATAAATGTTGTAGGATTTCTCAACTTACACTCTCAACTTCTACTTATAGAGTATTAAAATATAAAATATGTATATGGGCAAAACTAAGGATTTGTATTAGGGACTTTTCTGATTCAGGAAACCAGAGCTATTCAATTTCATGTGACAGTGAATTCTAATCCCCTTTGAATAAGTGTACAGCACAGGGTCAGCATAGCAGCCTGAGACTGCACCTTAGGAAGCCCAGCTTGCAAGGCTGGCCTTCAGCTGGTGTATGGGTGCTCCTATTTCAGAAGGACTTCCCCCATTCTCCACAAGGAATGGCTGGCTCTGAGTGAGTGTTCAGCTAACAACCCAGGTAATGCTGAAAGCTGCTTCCTTCGAGTAGTCTGGAGCTTTAGTACTTTCCAGGTAGAAGGGGCCGACCTGACCAGCCTCAATACGATCCCTCGGCACTGAGTCTACTGAGCTCCCGTCGGTGGAGAGCAGTTCACATATGCTGCCACAATTCGATGCTGGAGTAAGTAAATCCATTCTGTGACTCCACTGGGGAGCGCTCCTGGAAACTTGCCCGTGGCCTCCCCCAGACTTTCCCATGCGTCTTTCCTTCTGTGGGTTTGGCTCATACCCTTCACTGTAAGAAACCACAGGCTTGAGGACGGCTGCACATAGAACCTTAGGAATCTTCCTATGGAGCTACTACAGCTGTGGTGGCCTTGGATAAGTCCCTGGTAACTTAACAAATGCATTTGGAAGTGAAAATGTTCAAATAGATGGCCAGATATTTGAGCGGTCAGATTTCAAGTTAACCCGGTAAACTAACAACTGTCCCTAGACTGTGGCCAGAAAATGGAGTATGAGCGGCCTTAACAAACTGGGTGAAAGTGCACAGGTCACTTCAGGAACACCTTCTCAGGTCAGCCTGACATCTGCCTGGCGTGGTTCTCCATAAAGCAGTGGAGAATGTCAGGCTGGACTCTACTCTCATCAGATACAGAAGAGATTTCTCCAGGACAAGGTGGTAAAACTTTTATCTGGAACTTCAGGTTAGAAAGAAGATACTAGAAAATCTGAAGTTGTATTGCAAATGTGTGTGTGTATGTGTCTGTGTTTATACAATTTAACCTTCATTAGCATAACCCAATTAATTGATAATATTAGCTAACAAGAGTTGAGAACTTAGAGGCACAATAAAAGCCACTATATAAGTCTCAGGTAATCCTCACAATTAACCCTATGATTTTTGAAGTAACTTTATCCTTCCCACTGTATAGATGAGAAAACTAACTATATTAATATTACTGAATTAAGACAGGTTATCAAAATTTATTTTCTAGTATTTAATGATCTTGGTAAACCTGATAAGATTAAACAAAACACAAATGCAATAGACAATTACTATACTTTAATAATGGCATATTTACTTCTAGAAGAATCCAAGTTCCATTCTCCCTCTAGCACAGAATTTTCCTCTACTGGAATTAAAATATTCTTACCTCATTCAAGCACCTAATTCAATCCAGCCAACAGCTCCTATTCAAAAAATGTTTCCTTACTACTCTCAGGTATGTTTATACCAGTGGTCCCAGCTGGGAATGAAGTTGCCCTCTACAGGACACCAAGTGATGTCTGAAGACAATTTGGTTGTCACACTAAGAGGGGGACATGCTGCTGGCATCTAGTGAGTAGAGGCCAGAGATGCTGCTAAATATCCTAAGACGAATGCACTGGAAGAGGCCCACACTGAACAATATCCAGCCCAAAATGTCTACTGTGATCAAGTTGAGAAACCCTAGTTTATATGAAAAGTAAATTCCATACCCACTTTACCTTATTGATTTTTTATTTACACAGGCAAGGTGAACAGAGACATGAAACCTGATAAAAAGAGACCAAGAAATACTGCTGCCCCAGCAGGGGAGAAAACAGCTGCTGGGCATGTGTCAGGTCACTTGACCTCTCAGAAATAAAGGAATAAGCCTCCCACGTCTGATTCCCTTCCCGATCTGACACAGGAGCATCATCAGAATCCAGGTCAAACAAGGTTCACTCTCTGGAGCAAACAGATTATGTTGAACACAGCTTAAAAAAAAAATGGCTACACATAAAATTGTAAAGATCCAACAAATAGAGGAAAGTGAAAAAACAAAAATGGGTAAAAAGGAAAAGAGAAAACATAGCAAGAGAAAGTTATGGTCGGAAAGACGAGAAGCCATAACTGGTACAAGCACAGAGGCCGAGAACACACAGATAGGCCTTGGATTTGGCCCTGGAGTTTTCCATACACAGGGAAGAGGACCAGGACATTCTAAAGGCAGGAACTACACTGTTCCCACAACTTTCAATCCATGCGGTGCATGCATTCAAAATGACAGCCCACCTACCACAAAATAAGTATTAAGGAAAATCAACACTAAGCAACACTTACATATAGCTAAATCCATTTAATTACTTTAATATCATTTCTAGAATATAAGAAAAGAAATAGTGGGATGTCAAGTCCATAAGTATACTGAGGCATTACCACTTTCTGGGCAGTCATGTTTGACCACGTGGGAAAAGGAATTCCCAGCTGGGACCCCAGCCATGTCACCTGAATGGTCTTCCTAAAATGCACATTCCATCAGGTACACATAGCTCCCCATTTCCCAACTAAAATCCGAATTCCTAGTGGTGGGAAAAATAAGGATGCCCATCCCTAACCCTTGAAAGCTGTGAAGGCACTATTACATAGCAAAAGGGGAAGGCGGGAGGCAGATGGAGTTAAGGTTGCTCATCGGTCGACCTGGAAGTGGGGAGATAATCCTGGATGATCCAGGGAGCACCATGGAATCACAAGTGTCCTTTTAGTGAAAGCAGCAGGCAGGATGGTCAGAATCAGAAAGCGAGATGTGCCGAAGAAAGCAGAGGCCTGAGTGACGAAGCTGCCATCATGGGAAGATGGAAGGGGCCATAAGCCATGGAGTGGCAGCCTCCAGAAGCTGGGAAAGGGAACAGACTGTCCTCTAGGACCCCCGCAAGGAATGGAGTCCTGGCAGCACCTTGATTCTAGCCTAGTGAGACCTGACATGCAGGGGGGTAAGATAGCAAGTTTACATTGTTTTAAGCCACTAAGTGGGGGGTGAGGGGGTAATTTCTTATAGGAGCAACAGGAAACTAATACATTCCTGTCTTAGTTTCCTGTGACATTCTAACCACTTGCCTTTAACTTAGAGGCTTAATGCAACACCCATTTACAAGCCCACAGTTCTCATGAGTCAGGAGTGCGGCCGTCGCTTTGCTGGGTCCTCTGTCAAGGATCTCACCAGCTTCAAGTCAAGGTGTCAGCTGGGATAGAGATCTCTTTGGAGGCTAGGGATCCCCTTCCAAATTCAACAGTTGTGGCAAAATTCAGTTCCTTATGGTTTTAGGACTGAGGGCCTCTGCTCCTAGGGACTGCAGGCAGCCCTCTCCACGACAAGGCTGTCAGCGAGGCATCTGTGGGCGCCTGGAGTCCCTTCTAGGGGCTCACATGGTCAGGGCAAGTCAACCTATGATGATCTCCTTTGCTGAATAGTTTAAACTCAACTCATTAGTGTTCTTAGTCACATCTGAAAATTCCCTTTACCATTACCATATAAAGTAACCTAGTCTTGGAAATGAATCCCATCATCTCACTAGTCCTGGCCACACTCAGGGAGAGAGGTCTTCATATGGCCTGTCTACCCAGGGGACAGAATCCTGGGAATCATGTTCAAATTGTATTTAACATGCTCCTTGGCTGGGAAACTAGAGGGGTAAGATAGCAATTTGTCTTTATATTGCTTCTGCTGTCAATTTATCTTTAACCAAACGCCCTCACATAGACAAGTTTGAGTTGTACACACTGACCTGTGTATGCTCTTTGTTACAGACAACACCTGGTACCTCGAGCATGCCCCTCTCTCTAGCAACTGCTTATTCTAACCCTGCTTCCCCCAGTTCCCCTTACCCATCTCGAAGAGTGTCCCAACTTCACCTCTTTTTATGGCCACCACCCCCAGCACAGAATGTGGGGTACATGGAATTAATTACTAGGCACCACAATGCACATTTTAGTAAATATGCTTGTATAATGGTTTTGTCTGTATCAAATAGATTTTCCTGATTCAATACTCTAATTCCCAATGAAAGCACATCATAATGAATAGCCAGGAATGTAATACTTTTTGGTAGACTATAAAACAGTAGCTAATATAGAATTTCGAGAGAAACTAACAGTGACAAGAGGAAAGCAAAAGACTTTCATTTTCATAATGTAAACTCAAACCTCGATTTGCTTGCCTGGAAGGCATTAACGTGGACACATTCTGCACGAATTACGGAGAGAAAGCGGCCACATGGGAGTTAACAAGGACCCAGCCAATAAGGAAAGACGAGAATATAATTACTTCCATTCCTTTTTTAGGACGGATTGAGCTGATTCAAATTTGACACTATTAATAAATTATTTTTAGCAATCGCCAGCAATGGGATTTTTTTCCCCTTTACTTTCTAACTCAGGAACCCTTTCTCAGGGTAAAAGTTTGATGAAATCAGGAATGGAACCGACTCCCTGGTCATTGGCTAGTGCGGACCTAGGGTGTACTATGTAAAGTGAGGAACAGCCTCATTTGTTCCTGCAGCTTACAGCTGGAAGAAGCCTACTAGTAAAGAGCGGATATGCTTTAAAAAGAGCTTTCCTTGTGCCAATGCACCACACGTTGCTTCAATTACAGCTCTACTTCAGCCCTGGGGGGAGGGAAGGATAAGTCCTCACAGCCAGGCCCAGCCTCAGGAAATGTGGTGGGTGCCCAAGAAGCCTGCACCCCCTTGTGACCACAGAGACTCTGCCCGTCTGGGGCAGCGGGACCAGGAAGACAGCCTATAGATCCTTCTATTCTAATAATAACACCAAGCAGAGGAAGCGAGAAAGAAACATCTGCCGTTGTGTGAGAAAGTCCTCACTCCTCCCACACTGTTCAAGTCCCTAAATTAGAAGCATTGCACATCACCGCACAGTCTCTTTCTCCTTCCCTGCTGCCTAGGACACCTTCTTCTGGAGGAGAGCTGTGCACATGTCTTGTTAGAAATGCTCCGGCCCACAAACGGCTTGCATTTCAGGATGCAGCTGATCTGACTGCATGACATCATGTCAGATTCTGCAGACTACCTTGCAGGGGATGGCAAGCATCAGTCGCTGGGCTGGGAAGCTGCCAAGACAGCGGCCTCTCGGAGTCAGCTTGAAAGGCCAAAAATGCCTAGAGCGCTTCCTCCCCAAAGAAGCATGGAATTAACAAGAACTCCTTACTTAGTCTTTCAACATATTAACATCCAAATTAAACACATCGTTTAACTCAAACCAGAGTCGCCCTGTTAAAGCCAGAAGTCATGAGACACAAAACCAGCCAGGATTGGTTCTTCTTTAAGCCAAACTTAAATGTTGGCTAACAAGTTACCACCACAGCTGTTTTCAGATGCCTAAGCTATCTCTCTGCCAGCCTGGCATCCGTGGGTGGGCAGGGGCACCCTCTGGGCACAGACGGAGGATATGAGGAGTGCGGAGGAAGAGCACTCTTCCAGGGAGGTCGCAGAAAGACCTTCACACCATGGAGGCAGCCTCCTAGAATGACTCTTGACTCCTTTGCTCTGTTGGGGGCTGCTTCATGTGGAGTGGAACAAATACTGCCAAGAAAACTGAGACAGGATGTACAAGCTTGGAGGCAAAGCTGGAGCACTGCACTAATGGTATTTATCTCTTTGTATAAAGCTTCCAGGAACAGTAGGTGTCTGTTGCCCATCTTGACCAAATACAGATGCTAAATTAAGGTGCTACAATTCCATCTGTAATATTATAAGAAAAAGAAATGACAAGAGGTTTCTTATGAGGCTCTGAAAATGCACCTGTGTGTTACATGTAAGTGGGTTACACTCCTGTGACTGTACCAACATTAAATATTTTTGAATCCTTAAAATGCTTAAGGAGCTGACTAAAAATTATACATATTACATGAAATAGTTTTCCCTACCACATTATGGATAGCTTTATTTTCCACAGAATGGGGTGCCCATCCCCACCCTTCTGTGTCCTGTATGTATGAGTACCAGTCTTTCTTCGTTGGCCGATTTTGATTTTTTGAGTATCACTTTGAGCAACAAAGCAGATGACATTTGTGGTCCTCTCCTCAACTCATCATGCTCACTGCCAGGGAAGTACCCCTTCAAGGTGGCCCCCAGAGACATGGCCCTAGGGCAGTCAGCTTCCTGATTGGAGGTGACTGGGCCAGGGATGGATGGCTAGCCCACTCTAGTCCAAATCAGAGTCCTTAGTCCTTTATTTGCTTATAATCACTTATTCAAATGTTGCTATTTTTCATCTTCTCTCTCTCTCTCTTTCTCTCTTACACACACACACACACACACATGCACACAATTAAGACTAACACACAGTAAATTGATCTCTGCAAATATCTGAGGTACAGCCAGTCAGCACAGAGAGAAACAACAAGTGATAAGACATGTGAGAGTCTCTTGAGCTCTGTCTGCAGCCAGGGCTCTCCTGCACCCTGGCATGGTGCTGACTTTGGACCCTTCGATCTTTGAACACATTCCTTTTCTTTAGTTGCATTCAAAACTATCACAACCAATTTAAGCCCATTGTTTTCACCCTCCAGGCACCCTCGGCATCAAAGGAGGCAGCACATGCTCTGGAGTGGCCGGCAGTGCAGAAGACCAGGGGCTACCGGATCAGGGTGGCCCACTCCCTGTTCCCCAATACACCTCAATTCATACAGACAGGCAAATGTGCGCAGACGCACAAACACACATGTGCGTAAGTAAAAAACAAAGAAGGACATTCATTTTCTTGTTAAGTTAGACATCAGCATGATCTGAAAAATACCATCTGTGTCAACACTTGCTGAGGTTAATTAAATATCTAAGTGATTTCAAAGCCAGAAAGTATCAAATGCTAATGCTAGGCT